TTGTTACCTTGATTACAAGCTAATATCGTAAATATCTATTGCATGGCCTATAAATGTGTGCGGCGGCTTTTATGAGCGCTTTGCGCGAATCACCAAACAAGCGCCACCAAACACACCATACATACTTCACGTGTTTATGCTGTTTATGGTTTGCACACCCACATGGCAGAAGAATCTCCTTGCAGTAGACAACCTGTTTGTACGCTCAATTATTTCGATACTATTTGGCTTAATTGAAATTTAGTTTTGTGGTTATTGTTTGTTTGGGTTTATCATACGCCGTGGCTACCAATAACACTGTACAACCCTCGGCTGGGTAGTCGACCAAACCAATTTTTTTTCAATAGATTGAGTTATAAGTAAACAAGAAAAAGCGTTGATTTCGGTTGTTCACAAGCTATAATTCTTTTTACAGATACAAAATATTCCATACAAGAGTTTATATATGCTATAGTGGTCCGACCTGAAAATTTTTTCGGAGGTCATGAACAATAACCCGTGCCGATATACTGAAGATATCTCGTCAAATAAATAAGTTTTCCATATAATGTTATGATTTTGATCGTTTGTATGGCAGCTATGTCTACTCGTATTCTATAGTGTTCCAATATCACCGCTCAAACAAATGAACAGCTCCTTGGGAAGAAAAAGACGTGTTCAAAATTCTTCGAGAAAAATAAAAACATTGTATTTCGAAAAATTCTAGCCTGATTAATAAAATATTGGTAACTTTGCAAAAGTGACTTAGCACCCATTCTTCTGATATACTTTCCGTATACAACTTTACAAAAGAAAAATTAAAGACAAGATTTATATATATTTATTTATATATTTTTTAGGAAAGCTACTTTTAATAGTTGTTTTTTCGATCTTCATAATCAATATCATGTTCAACATAAGCTTGTTCACAAAGTCTCCTTTTTTCTCTCTTCTCTCATCAGGTTAGCGTGAAAGTTGCCTTCCAACCAATAAAGATGAGTTTGCATTAAAAAAACTTTCAACGACATATAAACTTACATTTCCATATATTTACTATAATTAACATGATAGATTTTGCCAATGACATTAGTGATCTTTAATGCACTCCAAGCAGTCCTAGCATAAGCAAAATCTTTACCACTTTACAGTTGGATCGTTTAAAATACTACAGTAGTAAATATATATAAACACACAAATATACGACGTAAGTTTACAATAATATCAAACTCCCAAAAATTAAGTTACATGAAACATAGATCTGCGGTTTTTGATCGCTTGTGGCATCTGCCATATATAATATTATATGTAAGTCAGCCAGAAAAACATTTTACCCTATTGAAATATGAGGAAAAGGTTGATTAAGCTCCTACTTTTACTTTTTTACTGACTTTGAAGGCAAATATTTCGAAATAATTTTTTTTTTTGAATTGATGGCTCATTCTGTCAAACAAAATTGGTTTGGTCCAATACCCAGTAAAAAAGTTGTTTTTGCCGTATAGTGTAATCGTCAGCCAATCCATATTTATACACACATATTTATATATGTGTACAGTTGGTATTAGAAAATTTGTTTGAAAAGCATGACTTACAAAACCAAATCACATTAATTAAATTAAAGTTATTTAGTTTTGCTTCTACAGTTGGCCGAATAGTTCATGCTCATACATATATATTTATACATAATATATGGCGAATTTAATAGCTGGCAAAGAATTTAAATGTACTTTCCGCCACTACAATGTGGTAGTGATTAAGCGGTAAATTAAGTAAATATGTTATGATATATAGCACATATATATATAATATATCTATATATATATAAATGGTAAATTAGTCTAACTCGAATTGCTCATTATCATTATTAGTTAAGCTATTTAAATATGCTTTCCACTAATTAAATTATGTGTTGACTTATCGTTAAAATGTTAGAATGAAATAAGTTGTAAGAGAGATTACACCCAGTATTTTTATCAAATCACTATGTGAACTTTTTTGTTTCCAACTAAATTTCTTTTTAAACGCAACACGCGATATCTTTAGGCTTACAGAAGGTTAACAACCTTTTCAACTATTGGTTTTGCTAATTAATTTCGCCAATAATGCTTTGAAACTTAAGTCTAGCACAGATGGTCTCAGTTGTGTAGGATTTCAAAAAATTTAATAACTCAATCACTTTTAGTGATTACATATATCATTTAGGTTTTGACATTTTTATAACGTCTCTTGACACAGTTTGAGAATATACTCAGTTGGAAAAACCGCGCTCACTTCTTATATAATTCACGATTTTACACATTACACATATCTAAAGATATCGAAATTCCTTGAAATATTTTTACTCTGAATATGGTATATTAAGTTTGCCAGAATGTTTGTAACACCCAGAAGGAAACGTCGGAGATCATATAATAAAACTACAAAAGATGAACGTAAGTGCTGAGCTGAGTCTGTCTGTATATACGCAAACTAGTCCCTCAATTTTTAAGATAGCGGTCTGAAATCTTGTACACGTTCTTTTCTCTCCAAGAAGCCGTTCATTTGTCGTTACATTCGATATTGGACGACTATAGCATATAGCTGCCAGCTGCCATACAAACTGAACGATCAAAATAAAATTTTTGTAAGAAAAATTTTTTATTTGACGAGATATCTTCACGAAATTTGGAACGAATTTTTGTCAAAAACAACGCTACTATCCTCAAAGAAATTGTTCAGAATCTGTTGTATTTGTGAAGCTTCGGGGCAACCGAAGTTAACGTTTCTACGTTTTTTCCCTATCCATATGTACCCAATGTTGGAGTTAGATATATTGTTTATAAGTGGTGAGATTTAAATTTGGGGTTGTGCTATATAAAATTAGGAACTAATAAATCTGGCCATCTCCCCTAGGTCCCACATACCAAATGTATTGATTAATTATATATACATATATATAAATTAAATTTTATAGCTAGTTACGAGAAGAAAAAATTGTTTCAACTCTTGTTTATCATACTATATATTTATTTCGGCTTTATTATTTATTTATAGATCAGTATCAACGGCATCTGAAAACAAGTAAGGAAGGGCTCTTACAACTTGCAAGGATCAAAACAAAGAAAATACCTCCGGGTTTTAGGAAAACTTTACATTAAAAAATGTTGCTAAATAATTCAACATTCATTATTCGACGAAATCGTCAATGGATTACAATCATATTTGTATTTAATTTCGCGCCAGCTAAAATTGTATCAAAATCATATTCAAATGTGATACATAAATGCGATATAAACTCAACTGAAGAAAATAAATTTAATATAATGAGTTGATGTGAAAACGGCAAGCTGAGGATCGCAATTGTTTATTTTAGGGAAACCAGAGTTGGACAAAAGTGTAGACAAATTTCATTCATATTCCCACAAAATTTTTAAGAAAACTTATGTGAAGTAAAGTCAACCGGATGTTTGAGGGCTAAGGCAAGTTTTCACCCGGTTTGACATATTTTAGGCACAAAGATGAAGCATTATAAGGAAAATATATCCATTTAATTTTATTGAAATAGCTCACATATTAGCCGATATATGAAGTAAACAGGGATTTTGAAAATATTTCGATAAGGTATATGGTGGCTAAGGAAAGTTTTGACCCGATTCAATCCATATATGACATGCTTGCGTACTATTATTAAAAAGAGACTCTCTCCGAATCATAATTTTGACAACGGTTTGGCCATCCCAGATATAAAATTTAATGTCTCCGACGTATTTATCGATTTATCGCACTTTCGGTAGTTTTTAACAACACCGTGATATAGGTAATGGGCGGGGTTATCGATCGATTTCATCCATTTTCCCACTGTCAAAGGAAGTATAAAAAATATTTAATCTGTGCAAATTTGGGTTATACAGCTTAAATGGTTTAGGATAAATATATATTAAACTTATTTAGAGGCGGGGCCGCGCCTTCTTTAGAATTATTTTTCAACCATAGATGCCCCTCCCCAATACAATCTTCTGTATCAAATTACAGATATATATCTTAGTTTTCGAGAAATGGCGTTTTGTGGGCGTGGAGTTGTCCGATTACACCCATCGATAATACCAAATTTCCAAGGAAGATGTAGATCAATTTTAAGCAAGATATCTGAATTTTTACTGAAGTTACAGCTTGCATAGACGGACGGACGGACAGACAGGCATCCGGATTTCAATTGGTCTCGTTATACTGATCATTCATATATACATACCCCTATATTTATCACGATGAGCTTTAGGTGATATAAAAATTAATATTCTATACAGCCCGCTAAACCTTATATTGCGAAAGTTGAGCTATTCCAAAGAAAATGTCGTGATGATTCTATGGTCAGAAACTCATGCAAATTTTATAACGAGGTAGCTCAATATCTCTCACAGGTTTTGCGTAAGGAAGAAACCATCAGGAATTGGTACCGCCATTGTTGATGTGGGTCTCTGACCCACTAAACCCACCAAAAGTTCCTAGGAGAGGAACTCATTTAATCCGCTTGAGCTGCTCATACATAGCTTCCAGTACTAACCACAATACAAATACCTCATGATATGGTATTAATGGCTTTGGTACTGTTTCATATAATCTATATATCACTTAAAGTGAAAGCTCCTTCTCGATGTTTGGTCTCCACGAAAATTATCTTTATATTATGAGTAGTATGTACTTCAGCAGTCTGAAAATGAATTATTCTCATTGAAGTGAAAGCTCGTAAGCGGTAAACAGAACTTTTCCGTTTACCGTTAGAACCACATGGTTTTCAACACCTGGCAGAAATGTTACGCAAGTTTTTCGGATAAGTCATGACTCACTATTACTTTGATCAGAGTAAGGAAATAACAAAATATTTGACCTTGAAAGTGCCCATATTCACCATCCGCAATTCACGTGAACTAGTTAACTCCTACAGTTTTACCGTTCATGTTAATAGTCTCCTAACTTCGTCAATATGTACCGTCCTGTGCTTTTTCTGCGTAATAATGTTTTTTTGCGTATATATGGTAGATATTTACCTTGGTTTTGGGTAATCTGCAATGTTTGCTCCAGCACTGTGTGAATTTGCTTCAATTCGAAACAAAATATATTAAATTATTTCATAAATATTTATCGATCTTATTCATGAAAAAATCATACCCGCACTCAAATAACATTGTTTTCCTTTCATATTTCAGCCTGCGAGAGCATTTCTTTACAATTTTCATCAGTTTTGTTGGTTTTGCTTGGCATGCTGTTGACTTAAGCATTGTAGCGTGGCGAGTATGATAATATCACTAACTTGGAGCGGTACTCAAAGCGGCCATGAAAACGCATACAACAAAAGCGAAGCAAATTTTCCATAATGCGCATAAAAATCGATTTTTATTTCATTGCCCATGTTTTGTTTTTCAGATTTTTCCTTTTGTTTCCCCTAACGGCGACCCAGATATTATCGTTCTATAGTTGGTAAAGCTATTACTGTTGTTATTGCTTGTAAGTACCCGTTGATTTTGTTGTTGTAAATTAATTTAATAATACTTATATATGCGTGGTAAATGTTGTGTTGCATGCATAATTGATTGGTTTTTAATGAGGGTACACGCAGATGCAACGGTAGGCGGTATGAGGGTCGCGAATACGGAGCGTCTGACAGTCGGTCGGCGAGTGATTTTTTATTGCTACATTTAAATTTTGTCGCGTGAACACTATGGAATGTACAAAGTTATTTGCGAGCTAAAAACTCATTTATAATAAATTTCAAGTGTAGATAAATGGCGCGCGGCAACGTTTTTATATCAAATGTATTTCTATTATTGGCTGCCATTTGCACGGAGGATGTTTTGTCATCACCGTTGTCGCACTTCTTCTTAGCAAATACAATATTTTTTGGCTTGACATATACAAATATTATATATATGTATATATGTGTGTGTGCTTGCTATTGAACACGTGTTTATACTTGTTTGGCATGCTGCATGTGGCATGTGGCAATGAGTCGCATTGTGCACCAATGAAGTGGTGCATTTGTGCAATAACTCACCATGCAGCTTTATGGCACTTTGTCACGCGTGAAGAGTAATTCAACCATTCTATACACTGCCACCATCTGCTGCAAGCCATTTGTGCCACTCTCTCGCAGATCGCAGTGCTGTTGCTTAATGACAGATAACGGTGTTATTTTAGTACGTGTGTTACAGCTGCTGCTTGATTTCCAGTGAATAGTGTTAGCATTGGCGTTAATAGCGTCTATTGCTTTCTATTTTGCACTCGGCAAAGAGTCGACAATTATAAATAAGTATACAATCGGTTCAAAATGAATTGCGTTTAAATTAATGTTTACACCTACGCACATTAAATTTGATCAAATACTATTTTTTAACTATGGTATCCAATGTGAGTCCGATTTCAATAAGTGTTATTATTTGTTGTTGTTTGTAGTCTGCCGAAGCTGATGTTTTTTTATGAAAAATATGTGACATTAAATGTTATTTTCTCTCATTTATTGGAAATATTTGATACAATTCAGTATACTTTATCCTTAAGTTCTAGTGTGCCTATGTGTGTATTATGTTGTTCGTTAATTGCCAAGTAGATTGCTTTTTTTGCAAATGCCCTGTGAAGCTTAAGTTTTTGTATTAAAAATTAGGATCCAAAATAAATAAGCTCATTCTTTTCAATTCGAGCCGTGCGAAAATTGTATTTATTTTTCCATGTATACAACATGGGATTTTTTACAATAATATTAACAAGTAAGGAAGTCTAAGTTCGGGTTTAACCGAACATTTTATACTCTCGCAACTTGCAAGGATCAAATGCTGGAAATTACTTTAGGTGTTGGCAAAATTTTATATTGAAGGAATTATTGATCCGATTCAACCCATTTTTGACACAAAAACATACCATTAACGAGAGTTTCATTTATTTTTTTTATTATATGAGTTTCAATTATATAACCTACATATTGACCAATTTTTCCCTTTAACCCTTATGTTAGTAACCAACTTTACCGACGTGTTTTAGCAACCGGTACGAGTATTAAAAATTTTGTTTATTTTATTAAAAAAATTTTTTTCTAAATACGTTTTTTCTTCAAATATTAATAGTCAGTGACAATTTAAACAAAAAAAATAACAACGTAGAATCATGAATGACATCTGAAACCTATTTGGGACACCCCAGATAGTCGGCCGACTTTTATTGTTCGGAGCCGAGCAGATGCCGTTCGAGAGAGAAAGAAAAACTCAAAGTTTTTTCTTTGTTTTCTATCGTGCACTATATTCGAGCATTTTTTAGTATGTAACAGATTTTTGGTGGGATCAGACGTGTTTCATTTGGTGTTTTCTTGACAGTGAAAAATAAAGCTATGGAACAATTATCGAGAGCTGACTATGCTCGGTAAGTAAACGTTACATATATTTAACATAAATATTTTAATTTCAATTTTGTGTAATATAATTATAATTATTTACGAAGTTTATCACATGGCCGTGGCCGTACTGGATTTACTCAATATATTCCATCGAAACCAGATAAGTATGGTATAAAGATCTGGTGGATTTGTGATGCAGAAAACGCATATCCTTTGCATGGGATTATGTGCACTGGTAAAACAGATAATACTCGAGAAAAAAATCAGGGTAAAAGAGTAGTGAAAGAATTGGCGGCTCCGTACCGAGGTAGTGGTGGAAACATCTGCATGGATAACTTTTTTACTACTGTACCAGTTGCTAAACATTTCGTAGAATATTACCATTGTTGGCACGCTAAAAAAGAATAAACATTACATCCCTAGTGTTATGGGAGCGAATAAGACACGGGAGCAGTATTCGACAGTTTTTGGATTTCACGAAAAGGTTAACATGTGTTCCTACGTTCCTAAAAAAAATGAAGCTGTCATTCTGATATCTACAATGCATTCAGATATATCAGCTGGTGATGACGCTAAACGAAAACCAGAAATAATAAATTTTTATAATAAATATAAAACTGGAGTTTACACAATGGACCAAATGGTGCGAAGATACACCAGTCAACGACGATTTTCGAGATGGCCAATGGCAATGTTCTTCAACATGCTAGATATTTCTTCACTTGCGGCATATATAACTTATTATGAAAATAATAAAATAATTGTCAAAAAAACGACAGAACGTCGTCAATTTATGATTAAACTAAGTGAAGAACTAGCATTGCCGATGATTGAACATCGCACGGCGAATCCACAAGTAATGCGCCACTTCTCAACAAAGATTGCCATTGAAAGTGTATTAGGCCATATACTGACAGAAACAGTCGTGATAAGTCCTGGTCCAGAGACTCCAAAAGATAAAACTGGAAGGAAAAAGATAACAGGATCTTGTCATGTCTGCAATGCTTTGCCAATAAGAAGACGGCGAAAGACACGTAAGGCCTGTGCCAATTGTCACCAACCTGTGTGTGACGAGCACTCAGTTAATCGTGTACAATGTGTTCAATGCCATTAATTATAAAAAAAGTGTAATATTTCTTTATTTTTTGAATAAAATTTAGTTGCATGCATTAATAGAAACTATATAAAACTTTTTACCCGGGTACCCGGTTGCGATGGCTAGAGTTTCAGCTTATTTAAAAAAAAAAATATATAAAAAAAATCAATTAAATGAACTCACAAATAGCTTTCTTTTAAGTTAAAAAACGACGATTTGAGAGCTTAAAATGAAATATTGAATTTTTTTAAGGTATTCATAAAAATACACCGCGGTACCCGGGTACCCGGTCACTAACATAAGGGTTAAACGCATTATTCAAGCAAAGTTTTACCCCGATACAATCATTGTTGCTTGATTTACATAGGGAAAGTGAAAGAATCAGATAGAATTTAAAATGGTGTTATATGGGAAACAGGCGTAGTTGGTATCCGATTTCTCCCATTTTCCATCCATAAAAAAAGGTGGTGCCACGCCCACTGCCTAATTTGAAGTTGGTTCTTATAAAGTCGTCTCATACCATCCCAGAAATAAGATTTAATGTCTCTGGCGTGTTTATTGCTTGATTTAACGCGCTGTTAGTAGTTTTTAACAGTACCGTTATATTGGGAGTGGGCGGGGTTGTCACCCAATTTCACCCATTTTCACACTGTCAATAGAAGTGCTAAAAGCATTTGTTTTCAGTGAATTTAGTTATTATAGCTTTAGCGGTTTAGGAGATATGCAGATATCTCTTCATCCTGATCATTTATATATATAAAACCCTATGGGAACAAAACTATTATACTCTGTAGCAAAGCGTTGCGAGAGTATAAGAAGCAGTATTTGCTCTTTTATTTCCATCACTTTATTGGTAGTTGATTTAAATTCCGTAAAGTGAAAGATTCAGATAAAATTCAAAGTTTGTTATATGCAAAGTAGGCGTGGTGGACTTTAACATAGGAAAATCAGAATAATTTCAAAAAAAAATTTTTTTTTATATAATTTTTACAACTACTGCTGCAAAGCCCTCAGCAATTATTCAGTGAGTTATCGGAATTTTAGTGGTTTTCAACTTAACTGTTATATGTGGTGTGGGCGTGTACGAAGAAGTGTTAATAAGGCGTATTCTCAGCAAGTTTGGTCGATTTAGCATTGGTTTAGGAGATATGTACATTATATCATTTAGGGGGCGGGGCTACGCCGACTTTTTATAATATAAATTAAAAAAATCAGGTGTACCCAAATTACATTACAAATTATCTTCATTAAGTGCTAAGTTATGTTTGAACACAACTGTACAAATTGATAACCATAACCGACTACTTTGACTTTAAGCTCTTTAAACTTTCTTATATGTAAAATCTGACGTTTAGGTAAGGAATGCCACTTAACAAATTTATTATAAATTCAAGTGTTGATAGAGTCTAGACATGCCATCTTTTCGAGGTTTCTTACAAAAGAGCTTTTGGTAAGTGACAATATACAATGACACTGCTTGGCAGACCTATATAGACAAACAAGTACATTACGATGGTTTTCTATAAAAGCTACACAATATATTCGACACTCACGTTTTTGCGTCTTACATACAACAAAATGTTTAAGAATTTTACTTATGCTCCACTACATATCTTCATTTCATTAATACTTGTAAGTATTTGATCCACGCATACAAGCTCAACCGTTAAACATGTTATAATGCACAGACTATTTTATGTAATTCGCAACCCTGATGAGCGTTGACACTTTGTGGACGAGTGCCGATAAGTAGACTTGCTCCTCTTTCTCCGCAACTTCGCTTTGCATGTTCA